TGTGCCCGTGGGCTGCTGTCTCACTCGAGGGTCTTTCTCGCGGAGAGCAGAACCTGGCAGCCTAAGGGGTTTCCTGGTGGTGTGTGTTCCTGTGCCACTGCTGTCTGTCTATGTGTGTCCCTTTCTCTCCTCTCTCTGTCTCTCTGTCTCTCTCTGTCTCCGTCTGTGTGTGCCCGTGTGCTTGTGTGTGTTGGGACCAATGTGCCCCGTGCGCCAAAGGGCGATTTTTTCCATGTAGGCCTGTGTTTGGTGAGCCTCTTTCTGCGTCTCTGCCTGGGTCTTGTGGCCGGTTGTTAACCATTTTCCCAGAGGATCCACTTTGGGTTTGTGAAGGCCTCGGTGATGTGAGAAGATGCATCCGACCCCGAGGAATTGAAATCTCAACCCCATCCTGAGTGGCCTCTTTTCTAGGATCAAGACGACCACACCCCAGCCAAGGCCAAGAGCCTCACAGGAGCTCGTTGTCCTGCAGGAGGGAGCAGACCGAGGTCAAAGAAGATGGTTCTGACTCCTTGTGGCTCTTCTCTGAGAAATGAAGCCACAGCCCGACACAGGCTTAAAGAAGAACCCGGAATGGGGCATGGCAAGGATCTCTCTAACTTGAACGCTGGTCTTTTGGACAAGTCACTTGTTTGACGCCCCTTCCTGGATGCCCATGGCGGTGGCATTGTGCTGCTTCCTGCCTGGGCTCCGGCCTCTGCTGTCCTCCCTCTTGCTTCGTCTGCCCTGTTTCTGAGACGCCTAGATGCTTGTTGGTCTGGCGCCATGTCTTCAACTAAGAACACTTCCCAGTCCATCAGGGAGAAACTTCGTGGACATCCGTGTCATGAGTGTTTCCCTCCCCAAACCTGTTTCCGGTTGATTGGGCAGGTGTGACCATCCTGGAGCTCTGGGCTTCCATACCCGCCTCACACAGGGAAGCTCCTTTGGTCTCCATGTTTCACCTGATGGCTGCGTGGTTTGAATAGCATGAGCTGTAGGCCACTGTGACAGGCCTTGGCTTCTAGGAAAGGTGGTGTCGCATTTCCTCTTCAATTCCTGTCTCATTTTTGGGGATATTTGCTTCCTCTGCTCCTGGATGCACTGCCTCCCAGAACTGGATCTTTTTGTCTGTCACGAATGTCAGGGGGCCAAAGGGACTGGGCTTGGGCTGGGCATGCAGGGGAGGTTGCATCAGGGCTACCTAGCCGGTGGAGGGGTGAGGGGGGGGATGAACTTTGCAGAAACCTCTCGGATCCTCCGGCAGGCGTCCCTGAATGTGGTTTGGACTCAGGCACAGGCCCTCTCCTGGTTCCCAGGTGTGCGTTGCTTTTCTTTGGCGTTCTTGGGGAGGTCACCAGTGCCCCCCACCCTGGGAACACGTCTTGACATCACGGTCTATCTCACCATCGCCCCATATGGCCTCAGAGACACACATTCACTCCACCTGCTCTGGGGGACGCCAGTGCCACATGCGGTCACATTGGCTCCACCTCGGACCCGCCATGTCCTTATTTGCACTTGAACTGAAAACTGGTGTCGGGATGCAGGAGCCCCAGGGCTTTGGGAAGCGGGGCAGGCCACTGCTTCTCCCAGGTAGGACCGAGGCAGAGGGCTCATGGGTCAGTGAATTTTGACCTGACAGCACACTTAGAGGCTCCTGGGATCTTTCTGTGCCTCAGCAAGGCCCTCCCCGCCTCACCAGATGGTAAGCCCATCCCTGCTGACCCGGTGGGATCCAAAAGTGGAGCTGAAGAGGAGTCAGAGACCCCAGCAGTTGCCCTGAAGCTCCTCCTCCTCAATTTGGTAGAAGTCGGCTCAAGGATGTCCTGAGGACAGGACTCCTGGGGGTCCGGCCCTGGGGCGCCCACAACCCCCTTTCCCATGGCGACCCCTACTTAATCCCCGCTGCAGCCGCCATTGCTTAAAGGGAATGCAGCTTGATTTCCAGTAGCCATGCAGGAGTCAGCCTAGTCAATGCACATGCGCAAGGCACCAGCGGATTCTTTCGTCACAGAGATCCCCACGGTTGCCTGAGGGATGGGTTCTCGAGGCTTGGCAAAGCAGGAGCACTCTGTGGCAGCACATCGATGTGGAGGCTCCGAGGCTCTGGCCTGACCTCTCCAGGGGGTCGAGAGGATGGTCTCTGGATGACAGCAGGAGTTACGGAGGGCAGACCTGGATCAAGAAACCACAGGGGGAGTCCAGGGGAAGCAGCGCGGCATCCCAGCCTCAGGCCTGCCCCGACGGTGTTCGGGTGACTTTCCCCAAAAGTCATGCCTCTTGTGTTCTCTAGCACAGGTCTGTGTCTGTGTTCCTGTAGGCTTCTCTCTCACCCGAAGGTTGTTCTCGTGAGAGCAGAACCCTGCAGCCTCAGGGGTTGCCTGGGGTGTGTGTTTCTGTGCCAATGCTGTATTTTTCTCTCTGTGTGTCTCCCTTTCTGTCCTCTTTGTCTCTTTCTTTTTCTGTCTTTCTCTGTGCCTCTGTGTGAGTGAATGTGTGCCCTTGTGCGTGTGCGTGTTGGGATGGGCATGCCCTGTGTGCCATAGTGCCGTTTCTTACACGTCGGCCTATCTTTTTGTGTGCCTCTTTGTGCTTTCCTGCCTGGGTGGTGTGGCCAGTTGTCAGTCGTTTTCCCTCGGATTCCACTTTGCATTTGTGAAGGCCTCCACAATGTGAGGAGCAGCGTTGGATCCGCAGGGGCTGAAATCTCCTCCTCATGCTCTTTTCTAGGATCAAGACGACAACACCACACCTGTGGACATTTTTTAAAGGAGTCCCAGCCTGACTTCTCGGAGCCATGCATAAATCGGCCTGACTAGTGCAAGCTATCTTTCCTGCACAAAGCAAAAACAGATGAGCAGCAGGATGCCCTGAGCTTTGAGACCTAGACAGGGCCCCGGGAGGCCCAGGTCAAAGGGAGGCAATGAGCTCAGGAACCGGGAATTTTTGGCTGACACCCTCCCCTGGGGTCTCAGTTTTCTGTGCCCCAGCAACCCCCTCCACACCTCACCAGACTGAATACCCAGCCCCAGGGACCCGACTTTTGCCCACACCATTCAATCCATAATCGGAGCAGAAGAGCAGTCACGAGTGCCCACCTCATGGTCTGAAGCGCCTCCTCCTTCCGGTAGCTGCCACCGGCTCCAGCATTTTCCTATAGGGCTGAGTCTGACAGTCCTGACAATGTGGCATGTGCCCACCATGAGAATTCGCATGCACCAAACGCGAGGCACCAGGGCGAGCTCTGAGCCAGGCTTGCCTCCTGGTGACCACCACCATTGCCTAGGGATGGCTCCCAGCAGCTTGTCAGATCAGGAGCCCTTTGTGGCAAGTGTATGGAGTTGGGCTGTTGTCTTTCCTCTCTGGTGGATCAACACGATGATCCCATGATCCTAGGAGCCTAGCAGAGCCGAACTAGACTGAAGAAACATCAAGCAGGGGCCCAACGATGCACCACAGGATTCCTGAGGATTCCCACAAATTGTTAGGCCTGCCTATATGGTTTGGGGGCGAGTCTCCTTGAAAGTTGTCCCCCCTGGGATTTTGAGATACAGCCTGCCTGTGTGACCCAGGGCTGCTCTCTCCTCAGAGGGGTTTCCTGACAGAGAGCAGAACCACAGCCTTAGGAGCTGCCTGGCTGTGTGTGTTTCTGTGCGAGTGTTGGATGTCTCTGTGTGTGTGTGTTTCATTCTGTGTGTGTGGTTTCTAATGAAACAAATGTGACTTGTGCACTGGAACGCAGTTTCTCTCCAGTCCCCCTACCTTCTGGTGCTCCTCACTCTGGCTCTGCTTGGGCTGCGGGGCTGTGTGTCCTTGGTCTTGTTCATGGTTCCTAAAGCCTTGGTGAAGTCGGGGGCTGGCTCTGACCCACAGGGGTCCAAATCATCTCCTCATCCCAAGGGGCCACTCTTCTAGAGAGATCAGGACACCACACACCCAAGAAGAGACACATCCCAGGGGCCTGTGGCACATCTGGGGCTGGACCCTAGCCATCCTGTCCTCAGGACCCATTTAGCCCACTTCAGATTTGGTTGCTGGCAGGGCAGGAACTTTGGGATGTGTGGCGGACACTCCATCTTCTTCAGATTCCATTCTGGGTAAAAAAGAAATGATATGTGCAGAAATAAGGTGAGTTAGGGGTGAGGTTATAGTCTGGTGAGGTGGGGGGGGTCCCACAACTTCACCAGCGGGAGAGGTACAGATAGATGTCAAAGAAGCTGCTTCCAACTCATTTTCCCCTTCCTCTTCACTGCACAGCCTGTCCACACCATGGCCCGGTACTGGTGGAAGAGGACACGAATGTGAGGAGAACATTTGTACTGCAAACTGTGGCCTTTCTAGCCAGCTCTCAGGTTGGGCCCTCATTCCGGGAGCCACATACAAGGGGCATGAATTGATTCTGTGTGGACTCTGGCCTCTTCTCTGTCCTGCCTCTTTTCCTCTTTCCATGTTTCTCATGGGCCTAGGGTTTCCTTAGTCTGGCTCAACGTCCTCTATAACAAACATTTCCCAGTTAGTCAAGGATGACCTTTCTGAAGATCCATGAGATCTATGTAATGAGTGTTTCCTTCTCAACACTCACATCTCTTAATGACTGGGTAGCTGTGATGATTCTTGAACCATGGGTGCTTGTAGCGCCTACCAAGAAGGAAACTTGATCCTCCTATTTCATCAGATGGCTGCATGATTCCCATAGGATAAGAGGTAGTCAACCATGGCTGGCCTTTGCCTTCTTTTTTCTTTTTCTTTCTTTCTTTTTTTTTTTTTTTTTGAGATGGAGTTTCGCTCTTGTTACCCAGGCTGGAGTGCAGTGGTGTGATCTTGGCTCACCGAAACCTCCGCCTCCTGGGTTCAGGCAATTCTCCTGGCTCAGCCTCCTGAGTAGCTGGGATTACAGGCATGCGCCACCATGCCCAGCTGATTTTTCGTATTTTTAGTAGAGACGGGGTTTCACCATGTTGACCAGGGTGGTCTCAATCTCTTGACCTTGTGAGCCACCTGCCTTGGCCTCCCAAAGTGCTGGGATTACAGGCGTGAGCCACCGCGCCCGGCCCTGGCCTTTGCCTTCTAATCAAGACTGTATTTCATTTCCTCTGCACATCCTTTCTCATTGTGCAGGGTCTCCCATTGCTCTGTTCCTGACTGGGATTGCTTCTCAGCCTTGAACCTTTTGGCTGTCAGGAATTTCATGGACCAAAAGGGACTGCTGGTTTGCTGGCTGATCCCGGTGTGGGGTTTGGAGTGGTTTGCACTGTGCAGAAACCTCTTGGCTCCTCTGGCAGGAATCTGATTGAGGCTTGGACCCCAGTATAGGCCCTCCTGTGGTCCCAGTTGTGCTTTGCTTGTCTTTCCTTTTTTGGGGCATCCTCTGCCCATCAGGAGCATGTCTGAACATCCTTCTGAGGCTTGGATTTGGCACAGATGGCCTCTAAGACACTCTCAACCTTATCTGTCCCCATGGGATGCCAGTTCTAGTTGTGGCCACCTTGGTTCCACCTTGGGCTTGCCTTTGTCCTTTTTTCCATTGTTACTGGACAGCAGTGCTGAGAAGCAGGAGCTTCTGGGCTTTGAAACCAGGGCAGGGCACTGGGAGGTCCAGGTGGAAGGGAGGCAGTCAGCTCATGGGGCCAGGGAATGTCCTCCTAACACTCATTCCTGAGGTCTCAGCTATATTTCTGTGCCCCAGTGACCTCCCTCCACACCTCACCAGCCTGAGTCAGCCCCCTGGGACCCGATTTCTGCCTACATCATTGAATCCGGAATCGGATCAGAAGATCAGTCCCAAGCGTGCACCTCATGATCTGAAGGGCCTCCTCCACTATTGAGACCCGAAATGTCAGGGTCGTTTGCTGCTTGTCCCACACAGCCTCCTTCCCAGGCCTCTACTGGCTCTGCCCTCACCATTTTCCTGTATGGCTGCGGCCTGACAGCCCTGACATTGCAGTGCGCCAGCTGGACACTAGAATGCACATGCGCCAGGCGCGAGTTACCAGGCCCAAGTGCTGAGCCGTGACTCGTGTCACAGTGACCACCACCGTTGCCTGGGGACGGATCCTAGCGGCTTGGCAGAGCAGGAGCCCTCTTTGGCAGTGTGTCAGCCTTCGGCTGGGCCCCTCCTCTCCAGGGGATTGTTGTCATGGTTCCATGGTTCTAGAAGTCAGGCAGGGCCGAACCAAGCTGAAGAAACGTCAGACGGGTCCCCAAGGGTGCACCACGAGATCCCTAAGGATCCCCACAATGTATCAGGCTTGCCTAGATGGCATGGGGATGCGTCTTTTTGACAGCTGTCCCCCCCTCCCCCATTTCGACATATGGCCTGCCCATGTGCCCTGGGGCTGTTCTCTCCCCAGAGGTGGCTTCCTGGGAGAGAGCAGAACCAGCAACCTCAAGGACTGTCTGGCTGTGTTTCTGTGCGAGTGTTGGATACCTCTGTGTGTGTGTGTGTGTGTGTGTGTGTGTGTGTGTGTGTGTGTGTGTGTTGTCTGGTGAAATGAATGTGGCTTGTGCAATCGAGCGTGGTTTCCCTGTAGTCCACTTAACTTCTGGTGCACCTCTCTCTTTGGCTCTACTTGGGCTGTGGGGCCCCATGTCCTTAGTTTTGCTCTTGGTTCCTAAAGCCTAGGTGAAGTGGGTGGCTGTCTCAGACCCGCAGGCCTCCAAATCACCTCCCCATCCTGAGGGGCCACTCTTTTAGAAAAAAGAACAGCACACCACACCCAAGAAAACACATCTCGCAGGGGTCCATGGTCCTGTGGCACACCCAGGGTTAGACCCTAGCCGTCCCTGCCTCAGGACCCCCTTGAGCCCATTTCTAATTCGGTTGCCAGCAGTGCAGGAGCTTCAGGAGGTGATGTGGGCACTCCTTCATCCTCTTTGGATTTTCACAGCACTATTTTGGTAATTTTTTTTTTTTTTGATGATACCAAATATACAGGCATCAAACAAAAAAACAGACACGTTGAAATTCATTAAAAGTAGGCCAGGCACGGTGGCTCACGCCTGTAATCCCAGCACTTTGGGAGGCTGAGGCAGGTGGATCACGAGGTCAAGAGATCGAGACCATCCTGGTCAACATGGTGAAACCCCGTCTCTACTAAAAATACAAAAATTAGCTGGGCATGGTGGCACGTGCCTGTAATCTCAGCTACTCAGGAGGCTGAGGGGCTGAGGCAGGAGAATTGCCTGAACCCAGGAGGCGGAGGTTGTGATGAGCCAACATTGCCCCATTGCACCCCAGCCTGGGTAACAAGAGCAAAACTCCATCTCAAAAAAAAAAAAGAAAAAAAAAGGGCCGGGCACAGTGGCTCAAGCCAGTAATCCTAGCACTTTGGGAGGCCGAGGCGGGTGGATCATGAGGTCAAGAGATCAAGACCATCCTGGTCAACATGGTGAAACCCCGTCTCTACTAAAGATAGAAAAAAATCAGCTGGGCATGGTGGTGCATGCCTGTAATCCCAGCTACTCAGGAGGCTGAGGTAGGAGAATTGCCTGAACCCAGGAGGCGGAGGTTGCAGTGAGCCGAGATCATGCCATTGCACTCCAGCCTGGCTAACGAGCAAAACTCTGTCTCAAAAAAAAAAAAAAAAAAAAAAAGTAAAAAAAAGAAGTGTGAATTGAAAGACATCAATAGGTTAAAAAGGGTAACCCACAGAATAAAAGAAAATATTTGCAATCATAAACTTGAAAAGGGATTAAGATGCTGAATATATAATCTGTAAAATCCAACAATTCACAGGATCCAAAAATCTGCCATGGACTTCAATAGACATTTCTCCAAAGACTTACAGATGGCCAATAAGTGTGTAAAAAGATGCTCAGCACACTATTTATTAGAGAAATGCTAATCAGATCTACAATGAGATACTACTTTACATCCATTACAAAGGCTGCCATTAAAAAATAGAAAATAACAGCTGTTGGTAAAGATACAGAGAAATGGGAACCCTGATGCACTGTTGAAGGGAATAGAAAAAGGTACAGCCACTGTGGCAAACAGCGTGACAATTCCTAAAAAATTTGAAAATAGAGGCCAGCTGTGGTGGCTCAAGCCTGTAATCCCAGAATTTTGGGAGGCTGAGAGGGGTGGATCACGTGAGTTTGATACTAGCCTGGCCAGCATGGTAAAACCCCATCTCCACTAAAAATATAAAAATTAGCCAGGCATGGTGTCACATGCCTGTAATCCCAGCTATTCAGGAGGCTGAGGCAAGAGCATTGCTTGCACCCAGAAGGCAGAGGTTGCAGTAAGCCTAGATCTCACCACTGCACTCCAGCCTGGGTGACAGAAAAAGACTCAACTGTCTCAAAAAAAAAAAAAAATTAAAAATAGAATTACCATGTATCCAGCAATTCCACATCTACATAGATACTCTGGGAAACTGAAAGCACAATTTCAAAGAGATACTTATACTAGTAATATAATATCTATACCAATAGATATAGTCTCAAATAGATATATTAGTAGAGACAGGGTTTCACCATATTGGCCAGGCTGGTCTTGAACTCCTGACCTTGTGATCTGCCCACCTCTGCCTCCCAAAGTGCTGGAATTACAGGTGTGGGCCACCACACCTAGCCTCTGGATAATTTTTATACTTAATTAGGCAGTCTGTTTTGACTATAACTTAATGTAAAGAATTAAGTAAATATAACTTCACTCCTATACACTATTGGTCCATGTACCTAACAATTTATTGAATAAAGCAGTCCATTCCCAACAGCATCAAAAGTAATTACATTTCCCAATGTAAATTCATAGAGCCATTATGGAAAATAATATGGAGATTCATCAGACACTAAAATGTCAACTATATGTCCCAGCAATCCCACCTGTTGGTGTATAGCTAAAGGAACTGAAATCAGCATGCTGAAGAGATAACTGCACTGCCATATTCACTGCAGCATTATTTATAATAGCTAAGACATGGAAGCCACCTAGGTATCCAGCATTGGATGAATGGATAAAGAAAATGTGATATGTATATGTATACATAAAGGAATACTATTCACTCTTTAAAAAGAGGAAAATTGGCTGGGTGTGGTGGCTCATGCCTGTAATCCCTGCACTTTGGGAGGCTGAGGCAGGCAGGTCACCTGAGGTCAGAAGTTTGAGACCAGCCAGACCAACATGGTGAAACCCCTTCTCTACCAAAAATACAAAATTAGCCGACATGGTGGCCTAGCCTGTAATCCCAGCTGCCAGGAAGGGTGAGGCACGACAGTAGCTTGAACTGGGGAGGCAGAAGTTGCAGTGAGCTGAGATTTTGCCACAGCAATCCAGTCTGGGCGACAAGAGGGAAACTGTCTAAAAAATAAATAAACAAGTAAATAAATAAATAATAAAAATAAAAAGGGGAAAATTCATTTGTGACAATGCGGATAAACCAGGAGGACATTAAACTAAGTAAGAGAAGCCAGAAACAGAAAGACAAATACCAAATGAGTGGTATTTGTGGAATCTAAAAAAGCCCGACTCTTAAGAAACAGAGAATGGTGTTCACCAGAGACTGGAAAATGGAAAAAAGGGAGATATTAACTAAAAGAGTACAAAATTTCAGTTAGGAGGAATAAACTTTAGTAATTGACTGCACAGAATAGCAACAACATAAATAATGTGTTATATATTTCAAAATTGCTAAAAGAGTAGATTAAAAAAATTTTTTACCACAAAAAAGTAAGGTGATAGATTTAATTAGCTTGATTTAATCATCCTACATCGTAAACAAGGATCAAAACAGCATATTGTACTCCATAAATAAATAAAACATACAATTATTATTTTTCCAGTTTTAGAAAGCTACTTTTCTCCTATCTTATAGCAAGGCTGGACCTCCTCAGGGGACACAGAGCAGAGTCCCCGCCCTCGGGAGTTCACACCCAGTCCCCCGCGCTGGCCCTCGCGGCCACACCTTAACTCTCCCCGACCGGCTCTACACGCACAGCCCGAGGCTTCAGGCAGCCCCGAATTCGGATTCCCCTTCTCAGCCTTCTGGGTGCACTGAAACCCTCAGGACTCCGAAACCAAGTCGGACACGCCTTCGCTTCAGCTGTCTTCTCCGCGCTAGTCTCTGCGTCTGCGCACTCCTAGTAGAGGGAACTCTGAAACCTCCCGGAGCCAGCGTCCGGCGGTCCTGCGATCTAATTGGGATTTGGGGTTCCGAGCCACTGTTACCACCAGCCACCACGGTCATGGATCTTTAGGCTTGAACTACATTTCCCAGAGGGCAGCGGGAACACCCAGTCTATGGCTTCCCTTCCGTTTTCGCGTGGCTCTTTTGCAAGGTGAGTTGAACTCATTTCGGGATATAATAGGCACAGTGTACTCGCAGGCGGGGCTCTGGGCAATCAAGTTAAATTGGAGCCCAACCTGCATCGTCCAGTTTGGTGGAGGAAGCCCTTAAACAGTGGAAGCCTGTTGTGTGGATGACCAGTTGTTATCGGAATCTCAGGCCTGTGGGTGCATGAGCGGCAGAGGGTTTTGAGTGCGTACGTGAGAGAATGTTGTATATGTCAGATGAGGAATGTTTGAGAGTGTGTGAGAGAAACTGCGTATGAGAGGCTGGGATGTGCCTCCTTGACAGTAGGTGCGGGTGTGAGGCTGTGACAGGTGAGTGACTGTGCTTGAATGACGGGGATATGAGGTGCGTTGATGCGGTGGCACATTGAGTTGTGGCTGTAGCTCCCCTCTCTCCTCATAGCCGCTTGTGGCTGACACACACACAAAATGTCTGCGAGAGGGAAGTTGGATTCTAATTCTAAGTGAAATTTTCCAGCAAGAAGGCACTGACTTGCCGTGAGTTTGGAAACGCCTGCGAGGTTATTTCCTAGTGAGCTCTGAGAGCAAGCTGCTTGTCTCAGAACCTTTTCTTTCCCAGAGCTGTGACCCCAGGAACCTGCTGTGAACTCATACCCAGATTCCAGCCTCCCTGCCACCTCCATGTGTTCAAGTGTGTGAACAGGGAAGTTGTGGAGGGTATTGTGTATCCAGGCTTTCCGTGCTTCAATGAAAGCCTGATAACTCATGATTCTCTTCTCCCTCCCTGGTCCTGCTGTTTCTCAAAAGGACTCTGATGAGGAGGAAAAAGTTCTTTCACATCTAAAAATCAGGGTTTATGCTACTTGCCTTTTTTTCTTTCATAAGATTACCAGTTTTAGGGCATGCGTTCCTTCGTCTAAAATGTGTCTGAATGTCCTAATAACAATCTACTTTATTTCTAGTAGATGTTGGGAGCCATTGAGCTGAATCTCATTAACATTGTTATATTTGGCTGGGCATGGTGGCTTATGCCCATAATCCCAGCATTTTGGGACTTTTTCCATTATAATGACTTCTGGCTGGGTGCGGTGGTTCACGCTTGAAATCTCAGCACTTTGGGAGGCTGAGGCTGGCAGATCACTTGATGCCAGGAGTTCGAGACCAGCCTGGCCAACATGGTGAGACCCCCCATCTCTATCGTTAAAAAAAATTTTTATAGTGACTTCTTTTCCTCTGGGTAGATACCCATTAGTGGTATTGCTGGATCAAACAGTAGTTCTGGGCAATAGAGTGAGACTCCATCTAAAAATAAATTACATATATATATATGCAAATAAAACGATTCAGTTTCATTTCACAGAATGTAGAAATAATCTCTGATGTCCAAGTGCTTCTAAGTACCTATGGTATGAAATTTAGATCTATTGTATCTATCGTATTGGAAACACTGTTCACACAATAGACACTCAGAATAGATAACAGCTGAAACATGAGATAGATAGTAAAAGTTAGGAAGAGGCATAGAAATCACCATGTCCTACTGAAGAGCAGGATTTAGGCTGCTGTTAGATTCTTGTCTAATATTGTTTATTGAAGAGAATTGTATGCTTACATACAATGTATAGTTTGTGAATATTTTTTTACTACTCAGGGGGTTGTCTGTTTACTCCGATGATTCTTTTGCTGTGCAGAAGCTTTTCGGTTTAATTAAGTCCAAAAAGTTTAATTAAGTCTATTTATCTTTGCTTGTGTTGCATTTGCTTTTGGGTTCTTGGTCATGAACTGTTTGCCTAAGCCAATGTCTAGAAGAGTTTTTCCAATGTTGTCTTCTAGAATTTTTATGGTTTCAGGTCTTAGATTTAAGTCTTTGATCCACCTTGAATTGATTTTTGTATAAGGTGAGAGATGAGGCTCCAGTTTCATTCTTCTACACGTCGCTTGCTAATTATCCCAGCACCATTTGTTGAATAGTCCTTTCCCTACTATGTTTTTGTTTACTTTGTTGAAGATCAGTTGGCTATAAGTATTTTTCTTTATTTCTAAGTTCTCTATTCTGTTCCATTGGTCCATATGCCGGTTTTTTACTAGTACCATGCTGTTTTGGTAGTTAGAGACTTGTAGTATAGTTTGAAGTCAAGTAATGTTATGCCTTTAGATTTGTTCTTTTTGCTTAGTCTCACTTTGACTATGCTGTCTCTTTTTTTGTTCCATACGCATTTTAGGATTGTTTTTTTTTCTAGTTCTGTGAAGAATGATGGTGGTATTTGGATGGGAATTGCACTGAATTTATAGATCAGTTTTGGCAGTATGGTCATTTTTGCAATATTGATTCTATCCATCCATGAACATGGGTTGTGTTTTCATCTGTTTGTGTCATCTATGATTCTTTCAGCAGTGTTTTGTAGTTTTCCTTATAGAGATCTTTCACCTCCTTGATTAGGTGTATTCCAAAGTATTTTATTTTTTTTGCAGCTATAGTAAAAGGGTTTGAGTTCTTGATTTGATTCTCAGCTTGATTGATGCTGGTGTATAGCAGTTCTACTGATTTGTGTGCATTAATTTTGTATCTTGAAACTGTACTGAATTTATTTATCAGATCTAGGGGCTTTTTGGATGAGTCTTTAGGGTTTTCTAGGTATATGATTATATCATTGGTGAACAGCGAGCTTGACTTCCTCCTTACCAAGTTGGATATACTTTATTTTTTTCTCTTGTCTGATTGCTCTGACTATGGCTAGTCACAACTTTAAAATGCTAATAATCAAGCAAGGGTCATAAATTGTAAATAGGAAAGGGTAAGTCAGTGTATAGTGAAAACCACTAGAGAGAGTCAGGTGATATGTCTTGGGAATTCATGTGGAGGTGGCATTGATTAGATTCTGGTCATCCTTGTAACTAAGCCCATGGAATCTATATGGAAGCTAGTGAATGTATTCTGCAAGGTTTTACTGTCTAATTTTTTCTTCAAGTGATGTTAGATAAAAAGCGAGACTGGGCCAGGCATGGTAGCTCATGCCTGTAATCCCAACACTTTGGGAGGCCTAGGAGGGAGGATCTCTTGAGCCCCAGAGTTTGAGAACAACCTAGGTAACATAGTAAGAACCTGTCTCTAAAAAAATTTTTAGAATTAGCCAGGCATGATGGTGCACATCTTTAGTCCCAGCTACTCAGGAGCCTGAGGCAGTAGGCTTACTTGAACCCAGAAGCTTGAGTTTGCAGTGAGCTATGATCACACCACTGTACTCCAGCTTGGGTGACACAGCAAGACCCCTGCCCCTTTAAAAAAAAAAGAGAGAGAGAGAGAGCAAGAATTTAGCAGTATCCTGTACGACACTGTGACTATGTAGCAAAATAAACCCACCTTTTAATACACACATTTGTGTGTGTGTGTTTGTGGGTGTACACATGTATTTTTTGAGTTATTGTATGAACAATGTTAAAATGATTATGAAATATATTCAAAAGAATATCAAGATAGCAACTAAAAGGAAAGTAATGGTAACATATGATCATGTAATGTAACAGAACAAATAAATTACCAGACTTTTTCAATGTATTGATGTCCTATAACCTGTCTCTCAATGCTTGTCTCTCTTTTTAATGATTCAATGATATTATACATTCTATTTTTTATCTTAATTTTCTGTGGACAGTATATCTGAATTTTTTTATTTTTATTAAATATGTTTCCCTACTTAGCATCTGGTAGTTTCTTGGTATTCTATTACATGAATATTTTTTATTTTGCAAGGCAGTTTGTACTCAACACAGAACCAGTCCTAACCATTTCCTCCTGTGTTGTGCTCTCTCTCATATTTTGACCAATTTCAACTGATTCTGATGCCATAGAAGAGGTTCTAGCTTGAGGCCAGGTGTGGTGGCATACACCTGTAATAGGAATAGTTTGGGAGGCCAAGGTCAGAGAATCACCTGAGGCCAGGAGTTCAAGACCAGCCCTGCCAATGTAGTGAAACCCTGTCTCTACCAAAAACACACAAAAAAATTAGCTGGGTATGATGGTGCACACCTGTAGTCCCAGCTAGTCAGGAGGCTGAGGCAGGAGAATCACTTGAACCCTGGAAGCGGAGGTTGTGGTAAGCCAAGATCTCCCCATTGCTCTCCAACCCAGGTAACAGAGCGAGACTCTATCTCAAATAAAAAAAAAAAAAAAAAAGAAGGGCCTCAAGTTTGAATGATAAGTCCTCTTTCAGTCTTGAAAGGTGGGAATAAAGGCAAGTGAATCTTCTCATGGAGAAACTGAGCAGTTTAATCTCCTAGATCAGCCTTCCCAAATTGGAGTCTCGTCCAGAAAGCCCCTTGCTATCATGTCTGGATCTGGTTTTAGTGAGCAAGTGACTTACTGTAAAACTACCTTTGGATAGCTGGGTTTCCTGGGGTTTGAGGGAATGCTTAGATCCATTGTCTGTTTTTCCCTATGTTATGTGTTCACTTGTGAGGGATTAATTTGGAAAGAGAAATAGAGGAGCAGAAAGATTTTATTAAATTAAGTCATACTGGGAACACTAATGTTCTTTTCTTCTCTCAGCTCTGGATTCTCAGGAGTTTGAATTTTTCCAGTATCGGAACTCTGCCAAGTAGGACTGATCGGGTCTTACAGTTCTAAAACCATGATCTGTGTAAGTTGATTAATTCTGTTTTCTTGCAATATGATCGTAGGTTATGTGGATTTTTTCATTAACCTAAAACTTCCTATTTAAGAAGTCCTTCAGTTATCTGCTCCCTACTTTCTTCTAATGTGGTGAATAGTGATAGCAAATAACTGAGTTTTCTCCCCATGAGTATTTTCTGTCCACTTTTATATTTATGGTCAAATGTATTCAATACTTCTTTTTTTTTTTTTTTTTTTGAGACGGAGTTTCGCTCTTGTTACCCAGGCTGGAGTGCAATGGCGCGATCTCGGCTCACCGCAACCTCCGCCTCCTGGGCTCAGGCAATTCTCCTGCCTCAGCCTCCTGAGTAGCTGGGATTACAGGCACGCGCCACCATGACCAGCTAATTTTTTGTATTTTTAGTAGAGATGGGGTTTCACCATGTTGACCAGGATGGTCTCGATCTCTTGACCTCGTGATCCACCCGCCTCGGCCTCCCAAAGTGCTGGGATTACAGGCTTGAGCTACCGCGCCCGGCCAGATGTATTCAATACTTCTATGCTTATTCTTCAACCAAAGGCTATGATAGAGCAGTAAAGGAGTGAAGTCTCAACAGGGAACTATTTGAGCTTCCTTTATACGTCCTTAGTTTAGTGAATTAGAGATGTTGCTCCTATTTGGATACCCTAGGTAGGCTTTGACATTATCCATAGACCTGAGTTTTCTAGGCAAATAGGATAGGATTTGGTTATCAATTGGTCTGTCTTAGTATGTGATGAGAGCTCATATTCTTTGAGAATTTTAGAATTGTTGGATATATACATGGATCTTGCCAAAGAATTAATGAGAGACAAGTTTTTATTTTGTGGTTGAATATGTTCTGTCGAACTTGGGTGACATCTTTTTGATTATGAGTCGTCCTATATCAGTATACATTCTGGAATAAGAAAAGTATTAAGTGAGCCGGGCGTGGTGGTTCACGCCTGTAATCCCAGCACTTTGGGAGGCCGAGGCGGGTGGATCACGAGGTCAAGAGATCGAGACCATCCTGGTCAACATGGTGAAACCCTGTCTCTACTAAAAATACAAAAAATTAGCTGGGCATGGTGGCGTGTGCCTGTAATCCCAGCTACTCAGGAGGCTGAGGCAGGAGAATTGCCTGAACCCAGGAGGCAGAGGTTGCGGTGAGCCGAGATCGCGCCATTGCACTCCAGCCTGGGTAACAAGAGCGAAACTCTGTCTCAAAAAAAAAAAAAAAGAAAAGTATTAAGTGATGGAAGATGGTGATAAATGAGAATAGTATCCTGAGTTGTCAATATGTTGATTTCCAGAATTGGAGAAGACCTTTGAAATGTTGTCCAACAAAGTATATGAAGGTAGGCTAACCATGGTGGCTCATGCCTGTAATCCCAGCATTTTGGGAGGCTGAGGCAGGAGGATCACTTGAGGCCAGGAGTTTGAGACCCCTTGCAAAAAAGCAACACCCCTATTTCTACAAAAAAAGTACAAAATCAGCTGGATGTGGTGGCTTGCACCTGTAGTCCCAGTTACTCAGGAGGCTATGGCAGGAGGATTCCTTGAGCTTGGGAGGTCAAGGCTGCAGTGAGCTGTGATTGTGGCACTGCACTCCAGCCTGGGCAACTGAGTGAACCTGTCACACACGCATACACAAAAGATTTAAAAAACTTATATGGCGCCGGGCGCGGTGGCTCAAGCCTGTAATCCCAGCACTTTGGGAGGCCGAGGTGGGTGGATCACGAGGTCGAGAGATCGAGACCATCCTGGTCAACATGGTGAAACCCCGTCTCTACTAAAAATACAAAAAATTAGCTGGGCATGGTGGCACGTGCCTGTAATCCCAGCTACTCAGGAGGCTGAGGCAGGAGAATTGCCTGAAACCAGGAGGCGGAGGTTGCGGTGAGCCGAGATCGTGCCATTGCACTCCAGCCTGGGTAACAAGGGCGAAACTCCGTCTAAAAAAAAAACAAAAAACAAAAAACAAAAATACTTACATGAAGGTAGGCTTGGTTTGGGGGCTTAGGCCTATAATCCCAGCACTTTGGGAGACCAAGGTGGGCGGATCACCTGAGGTCGGGAGTTTGAGACCAGCCTAACCAACATGGAGAAACCCCATCTCTACTAAAAATACAAAATTAGCTGGGCGTGGTGGCACATGCCTGTAATATCAGCTACTTGGGAGGCTGAGGCAGGAGAATCGCTTGAACCCAGGAGGCGGAGGTTGTGGCGAGCCAAGATCCCACCATTGCACTCCAGCCTGCGCAATGAGAGTGATACTTTGTCTCAAAAAAAAAAAAAAAAAAAACCCAAAAAACCAAAAACATATATGAAGGAAAAAGATGGATTAAGTCTGAAATATTCGCGATAAAACTGATCGTTGCACAGTAAATACAAAATATATTTGTCAAAAGAAAAAAAAATGCTGTGGTGTACTCTGACATAATGATATAACTTGAAGCTTGTGGAAAAGTCTAAAAGCTTTTTTTTTTTTTTTTTTAATATGGCGATTGGCCAGTGGCTCACGCTTGTAATCCTAGAACTTTGGGAGACTGAGGCAGGTGGATTGCTTGAGCCCAGGAGTTTGAGACCAGCCTGAGCAACATGATGAAACTGTGTCTCTACAAAAAATACCAAAATTAATTGGGCATGTGTTGTACACCTGTAGTTCCAACTACTTGAAAGGCTGGGCCTGGCAGTCGAGATTGCAGTGAGCCGTGTTTGAGTCACTATATTCCAGCCTGGGCAACAGAGTGAGACTATGTCTCAAATAAATGAATAAATAGAACAAAATAATAAAATATGGACATTATTAAATTTGGCAAGGACATCCCATTTTTTTTTAACTGTTAAAGGAAAAATAGAAACTCATGTTTATTGGGAATTTAAGCATCACACAACTAGCAGACTATGTAGTTGTGTATTTAAAACTTTATTGAATTTTATTTTATCCATTCCTCAGGAGGTCTGAATTATTGTGTAACCCCCAACATGCAGAAAGATTTGTCTGTGGCAATAGGATTCTTTAGGAATATGTAGACATGCTGCTTTAGTCTGCTACCAGTCATTAGCTACATATACTATATCACTCCTTCTCTCTAATGTGCTCTTCTAATCTCCTGTCTTTCCATCTTTAAAATGTTTTCAAAATTTTGTAATGCATGGGTTTGCAGTTTCAGGAATTAGTGACATTCAGGGATGTGGCCATAGACTTCTCTCGGCAGGAGTGGGAATACCTGGACCCTCATCAGAGGGACTTATACAGGGATGTGATGTTGGAGAACTATAGAAATCTAGTCTCACTGGGTAAGTTTATTTGTCTCAAGTAATTTAAAATGTGATCTGTGATATGTTACCTTTCAACACAGTGAATTTCAAGGCTGTATTTTGAGACATACTTGAATTTCTCCTTCCTGTTCTTAGAGAAAGGTTTCAGCTCTGTCAGTTTGACAATGGCTGTGCCACCAAGCACCATCATTTTCTTCATCCTTTAGAGATAGTCACGCGTCCTCCTGCCCCTTATGATTGCCTAATATCCAAGAGGCTTGTTTAAAATTATGTATTCTTATTATGAAATTATGTATTATTAGTCCATGAATAACCATTGTCCAGGAATCCTGGTTTCCTATGGTGTATATTTCTTCTTCTTTTTTTTGAGACGGAGTTTCGCTCTTGTTACCCAGGCTGGAGTGCAATGGCGTGATCTTGGCTCACCGCAACCTCCGCCTCCTGGGTTCAGGCAATTCTCCTGCCTCAGCCTCCTGAGTAGCTGGGATTACAGGCACGTGCCACCATGCCCAGCTAATTTTTTTTTTTTTGTATTTTTAGTAGAGACGGGGTTTCACCATGTTGACCAGGATGGTCTCGATCTCTTGACCTTGTGATCCACCCGCCTTGGCCTCCCAAAGTGCTGGGATTACAGGCTTGAGCGACTGCGCCCGGCTATGGCGTATATTTCTAAAATGCCTACAGATATGCTTTGTCATCATCTGATCCACCTGCAGGGACAACAGACGCAGATTCATGATTTACTCTGAGTATAAAAACCCCTGTGACTTATATAGTGCTGGACTGGATGAATAATATTCATTGAAATGTGAAGAGTCCACATTTCATTTCCTGTAGCCAATTTGTATGATTTCTTGTTGAAAGTTATAATTGATGAGCTTTTCATTGCGTTTGAATGAAAATTTTACATATCAGTTGGGATGCTTTTTTTTTTTCTCTCATACAGAAATAATAAAATAATTAAGTTGGTACAATTGTGCTCATTATGTCCCCAGGCATCTTTGGAGGAGAGGGGAAAAAAAAAAAAAAAATATATATATATATATATATATATATATATATATATATAATAATAACTTAATACTCAAAGAACTATGTGATAGTTTTATTGTGATTATCTTATTTATTTATTTATTTATTTTTTCAAGACTGGGTCTTGTACTGTTGCCTAGGCTGGAGTGCAGTGGTGCAGTCATGGCTCACTGTAGCCTTGACCTCCTGGCCTCAAGTGATCCTCCTTCCTCAGCCTCCTGCGTAGCTGGGACTACAGAATACACCACCATACCTGGCTTTAAAAAAAAAAAAAATAGAGATGAGGTCTCACTGTATTGCCCAAGTTGGTCTCAAACTCCTGGTCTCAAGTGATCCTCCCACCTCGACCTTCCAAAATGCTGGGATTACAGGCATGAGCCACTGCACCTAGCTAATAGCAGTATCATTATGACCAGTTTATTTGTCAAATTGGAATAATGAGTTGAAGTCACATGGCCAAAGTCACAATGTTGGTAGATTTAAGAGGAAGAATTTGTGACCCAGCCTCTGGCTCCAGAGAGCTTCACAGCTTCTTTGGGGTGGTAATATTTGGAAAGAGATGTTTTATAAGGTCACAGGTTAAATTTTCTCCTAAGAGACAAAGTGTGTATGAGTTTACATTAAAACAGGGTTTTACTGTACCTACTTCATTTCTTCAATCATCTCACCCCTCTTTTATTTGAGGTCCTTAGTTCATTGTAAATTTAACCAAAGCTCAAAGATTTCTGTGGCTTTTGTTTTTATTTTTATACCATGTGGCATTTCTTTTCTTATAAGGAGGACATTCCATTTCTAAGCCAGTTTTGGTTGACTTACTGGAGCAAGGAAAAGAGCCCTGGATGATTTTGAGGGAAGAAACACAGTTCCCAGGTAAGGAAGGCAGGGGACGCCATCAGGGCTGGTCACAACCCATGTGGTAGGAGAAAGGAGACACTTTTGTGTTGTTTGTAAATTCCTCCTCCAAGACACCCAGACTTGTGGAGCAAAGGCCTACAACCTGGTGGGGAATAAAGATCGCAGCATAAGCTCTTGGAGTTTCCCTCTTGTCACCTGGGCTGGAGTGCCCAGGTGCAATCTTGGCTCACTGCAACTTCCACCCACTGGGTTCAAGCCATTCTCCTGCCTCAGCCTCCCAAGTAGCTGGGATTGCAGGCATGCACCCCTATGCCCAGCTAATTTTTGTATTTTTAGTAGAGATGGGGTTTTGCCATGTTAGCCAGTCTGGTCTCAATCTCTTGACCCGCCTTGGCCTCCCAAAGGATTACAGGCATGAGCCAACACGCCTAGCCCCTAGGATCCTTCCTAGGTGACTAGACAGTTATTTTATTGCCAATCTTTTCCCATCTGATGTGACAAAGTGTTCAAGGCTTATCTTGTGTATTTCTTGTACTAAGCTTTTAGTCAGCCATAAGTTTGCTGGGATTACACTCATAGACATTTATTTTCTTCCATGAGTTATAATGCAGTACTATCCTTAGTTATTTTTCTTCCGCTTTGGCCATTGGGAACTCTTTCCAGTTGGCTCCTGTGCCTTTTCAACCTGCCCTCATCCTTTGGTGAGTTTGTTACTTTCTGATACCATAGGTTGTTAATCTAGGATTATCTTATATTTTTTCTGCTATAGCCTTGGAGTCAGCCACTTGTGTAAAGGAGCACCAGTTCCTTTTACTGGAAATAGGATTTAGAAACCCATATCTAAGCTTAGGTATGCTGATTGCTCCTGGACCCTCTTAGTGCTAGGCCCTTTTCACTCATGGAACCAGCAGGTATGTATGTATGTATGTGTGGCAAGGTGGCCAGTTACTCTGGTGTATTTCCCTGTTTTTTCAAAGCTGCAGCTCCAGAACATGCTTTATACAAATCTTAAAACTCCAAATCTTGTGTGCGAACAATGTCAGTCTTTGCAGTTTGCAATTCTTATCAGTGAAGCTGAGAAAAAGAATTTTCTTCATTTCATCCTGTCTAAGTTTTACATATACATGCCGCATTGGCTGTAATATCTAATCGTTCATCCAGTTGCAGTCAAAATGACCAAAGACCAGTGAAGGTTGATATGCCATTATTAAATTAGGATAAAGAAACTAACAATGTAAGTTTTACACTCTAACTTGAACTATAATTTTTAAAAAGGAATTTGAAAAATGATAGTTTTTAAAAATCCTTAAAACTGAATCTATGATTATATTTTATTAGATTTTTATAAGCTTTTGAGTTACAGTTAAATTAAACTTCAGATCAATTAAAACAGTTATTTTACTTAATGTAAAAGAAATTTTCTCTCATATTGCCATAAATTTCAAATGGTGCTATGTTCTTATCAGAGATTAAGAACTTGTATAACATATAATTCTATAATATGTAGTTGTATACTTCTATATTATGTGATTCCTTATTTTATTTGTTTGTTTATTAGAGATGGGAGTCTCACTAGGTTGCTTGGCTGGTCTCTAATCACTTGGCTCAAGCAATCCTCCCGCCTTGGCTTCCCAAAGTGCTGAAAATACAGGTGTGAGCCACCTTGCTTAGCCTATAATTAGTTATTATTGATATATTAGAAAGCAATTGATTTTTAGTTTGAAAATATAAGCCATGCTGATATATCTTGGTTATTCTGGTAGTTTATATTATTTTGAGTTGGACTTGTGATATGTTTATGTTGTTTCAAAATATTTATTTTTCTATATTTAACAACATTTTTCATAAGTTATTTTTAGGGTGTCTATATACTGTTGACTTCCAAGATTACCAGAAATTTCTGTTTATCTAGTAAAGCTAAGCTTATCAAATTTATTGCAAAAAGGAAGAAGAAACTCTTGAAAGAATAACAGTAGTATCTTAAAATAAGAAACCAGGAAAGTTATTTATCAGGTTTTAGAACCACATTGGGTATTTTTCTTTTTATTTCTTTTTAAAAACATGCTCCACAGAAAAGTAGCAATGGGGTAATTTTTTTTTTTTTTGAGGCAGCATCTCATTCTGTTGCCAAGGCTGGAGTACAGTGGCACTATCTCAGCTCGCTGCAACCTCTGCCTCCCAGGTTCAAGCAATTCTCCTGCTTCAGCTGGAATTATAGGCACCTGCCACCATGCCTGGCTAATTTTTATATTTTTAGTAGAGACAGAGTTTCACCATCTTGGTCAAGCTGGTCCTAAACTCCTGGCCTCTTGATGCATCCGCCTCAGCCTCCCAAAGTGCTGGGATTACAGGCATGAGCCACCAAGCCCAGTTGTTCTTTCCTTTTTGATTATTTGATGTACTAGCTTTAAATAACACTCTTTTCCATGGAATATTATAAAAATTGATCATACAGCATTCATGGATGTTTGTCCCAAAATCAGCATTTTTACATGAATTACTTCTTTAGATGTTCTCCCAACTTTTCTAGGAACTGTACTTTTATGTTTTAGTCCTATTTTTGTATCTGACATTGTGGTCATTGTATGTTTCCAGTTCTCCATTTCCTGGCTATAGATAATGACCAAAGAGGCTGTCAAGATGGGATTATGAGAAATAAATTGTGAGAGTTCTTGTATATTTAAACTATTGGCTATTTTTGTAGTCAAAATATACTTTGGATACCAAATTCTTAATTTATCTTACTTTTCTTGAGAACTTCATACCTATTGCTCCCTTACTTTTTGAGTTTAAATAAAACGAAGTGTAAATCTAATGCCCACTGGACATTTCGTTCCTTCAAAGTGACTTGATCTTTTTGCCTGGTAGGTAAAAAAAGGTTTTCGTTTTTTGAAGTCCTAGATCTCTAATAGTATGTGCTTTAAATGTACCATTCCAGTTAGTTTTCCTTAGGATACATAGTGGCTTTTTAATATGCAATTCATGTGCTGATAATGTCCAGAAACTTTTCTGGAGTAATAGCTTAAAGTGTTAATAGTCTTTACTTCTTTTTATTTTTATTTTGAATACCATGTATTTGCATTTATAAATATTCTACTTCTTTTGCTGGTCTTCCATAGCTACTGTTTTCTGTTTTTTAAAAGATATTTTACTGTGATAAATAAGATCTAGTATTTGGTAGTATAACAAAGTGACTATAGTCAATAATAATTTAATGATACATTGTAAAATAAGAGAATATAATTGGATTTTTTGTAACACATAGGATAAATACTTGAGGTGATGGATATTCCATTTACCCTGAAGTGATTATTACACATTGTATGCCTCTATCAAAATATCTCATATACCCCATAAATATATATATCTACTATGTAGCCACAAAAATTAAAATAATAATAAATCTTTTACTGTGAAATATAATAATTTTGCATTCAATAAATGTACACTAATATGTAACTAAAATATATACTACAGTTGTGTGCCACATCCCCTGCCCCAACTCCAGCTAGTTTTTTTTTTTTTGAAATGGAGTCTTGCTGTCTTACCCAGGCTAGAATACAGTGAGGCGATCTCGGCTCACTGCAAACTCTGTCTCCCAGGTTCAAGCGATTCTCTTGCCTCACTCAGCCTCCCAAGTAGCTGGGATTACAGGTGCCCACCACTGCACCTGGCTAATTTTTGTATTTTTAATAGAGACGAGGTTTCTTTATGTTGGCCAGGCTTCCTGACCTTGTGATCCACCTTCCTCAGCTTCCCGAAGTGCTGGGATTACAGGCGTGAGCCACTGCGCCCAGTAACCCCAGCTAATCTTTAAAAAAATTTTTTTGTAGAGACAGGGTCTTGCATTTTGGCACAGGCTGATCTCAAACTCCTGGACTCAAGCAGTCCGTCCACCTCAGCTTCCCAAAGTGCTAGGATTATAGGCATGAGCTACCACGCTCAGCCTGAATTGTTTGAACCCAGGAGGTGGAGGTTGCAGTAAGCTGAGAGCATGCCACTGCACTCCCACCTGGGTGACAGAGGGAGACTCCATCTCAAAAAAATAAAATTTAAAAAACGTTGAATGTAAGCGTTTCATTAGCTTTATACAAGCATCGAGGGAGTGTACTCTTTTACCCCCTCTTAGAATGTCTGAAGACATGCTCCAGAAAAACCATCTGAACCTTCAGTTTCTGTTGTGCTTTTTAAAAACTTACTCTAATTACGTAATGCTTATAGAGTTTTCCAGGTTTTCTCTGTGTTGATTTTGTAGTGGCCACTTTATAGAGTTGTATGCATTTCAAGTAACAATGTTTTTATCAAATGCCATCTTACTGTCTTTGTGCAGTGTGGAGAGCCATAGGTGAGGTACCTGGTAGCACTCCTAGGTTGGATATTGTTGCACTTACTTTTTTCTTTATCAGTGTTTAGAGAATTCCATTGGTAACATTAGTTTTTAAATAAAATGTTTGCCATTGTGGTATTTGTGGACTCTATTTTAAAAAATTACTGGACTTTTATCCTATTTTTGTTTATTTTGTTGCACTTTTTCCAGGTTCTTGTGATGAATATATAGGTCATCAGTTTTCAAATTTTCTTCTTTTCCCATATATATTTATATCTACTTTATAAATCGTTTTTCTACTTCTCTCACTCTATCAAGTAAATGGATGCAAACATACTATTATTTGGTTCAAAATAATTTTATATAGGAATTTAGGTAATACTTCCTTAAATTCTGAGTTGCTTTTTCCTTCTTTTCCCCAGCTTTTGATTTTGAAAATCATCAAGCCAAGTGAGAATATTTAAAAAATATGTATTTGTGTATATATGTATGTGTGTGTATGTGTATAATATACATAATATGTATACAGTTAATTACCCTTCACATAGATTCATCTTTGGATGTTAACATTTTGTCTTACTTTTTCTCTGTATATATGCACCTTTCTTCCTGGCTCATTTGATGGTAAGTAGCAGCTGTCATTATATTTCACCTCTTAACCATGTAGTATCTCCTTAGAATAAAGACA